GAGCAACTTTTGCGAAGTCAGTACGGCTTTGTTGTGAGCACACATAAGGCGAGAGGGTGTTACTTACCTCGCGAATCAGCTCCTCCGCGCGCTCGCTGACATGTCCTGGGAACTTGATGCCTTTACCCTTGAAGTTCGCAATCTTCTTTTGTGTGCTCTTCATGTCTTTCATCTCGAATGGCGGCTTACCCACAAGAAGCTCGTACATCAAGACGCCCAGACTCCACTGGTCGATCGCCTTCGTGTACCACCCTCCGCTCATTCCGGGCTTGAGCGTCATGACCGCAACCTCTGGGCTTAGGTAATCTAGTGTGCCGCACACCGTTGATCGGAACCCTGACTCTGAGTGTACGGAGTATCCAAAGTCAGCAAGCTTGATCTCGCCGTGGAAACCAAGTAGTATGTTTTCGGGCTTGATGTCGCGGTGCATGATGTTTTTGCTATGCATGTAGCGCAGTGCGGACGTGAGTTGAGCGATATAGACGGCTGTTTGGTGCTCTGTGAACCTACCCTTGGGCTGCTTGTTCATCTTCGAGTAAAGACTGCCACCCGGAGCAAATTCGAGCACAAGGTATATCGATTCGTCATCGTGAAACCATGACAGTAACTTCAAGATGTTCTTATGCGCGAGGTTTTGATGGATCTCTAGCTCGCGGCGTATCAACTTCTCCTCTTCTTGTGTTGTAGCCTGCGCTTTTGATATGATCTTGAGAGCGCACACGTAATCTGTCGCGAGATGACGGGCGAGGTATACGCGCCCAAATTTCCCACGACCAAGCGTACCGCCGACTTCGAAGTCGCGCGCTGTGAGCGAAGGATGGGGATCGGAGCCGGTGGATAGGATTGATGACGCTGCGGGGTCGCTCCGCAGTTCGTCGCTGGTGGAGGAGACATTAAGGCCAGTAGCAAGCTCATCGATGACGGAAAGTCGTTTTGCTGTTCGTTGGAGACGCTCTCGCTCGTCGACCGTCTTGCTCCTCGTTCCTGGTTTGGTAACCTTCGGTTGTTTGGTTGGCCGGAGAGCGTTGAGCTTCGCTTTCGTGTTCTGTATCTGCCCACATGTCAAAAGCAAACACCAAGGTGAGAGAAGCGATTACTTACCGACGACTTCAAGGTTGCAAGAACAGAACTAGAATAGGTAGCGCTCGGGGAGGCTGGGACATCTGCGTTTGCTGTGGACTTGCTGGGCGCCATGTTGTTCTGCTGGCGGTAATCGTCAGGCTGACAGTTCATGTTATTGTGATCGAGAACTTTGCTAAACTCCATAAAGTGAAGGCGCGTAAATGACGACATCGCGCTCTCATTGCTCTAGTTTCAGTCTCGTTTGGTTCTTGTCACCAGGTGAACGAAGGTCTCAGTTTTCGCAACACCGACCACCACAACAAACGCTCAACGCCCATCACTGTCACTGTCGACATTGCAACATGGATTTCCTCACCTCTGATATAGTATAACTGGTAGCCTCTGGTATAAAGACGTTGACTTTCAAGAGTTATTCATCAAGACTCGAGTCCGGCCTGGCGCCGTTGGGCATATCGCCTGCTCAGCTCGCTAGGTCAAGGTCGCCGATTCGAGCATCAACAAAGACAGAAGCGAGACAGCACAGACCGTGGTCTGGTTTAAGAAATTAAGGAGGCTGTCAGCATACGGTGCGTGAGAGGGGCACCTATCTAAGTTCTGTCTTTTTGCTCTTTTGTGTATGCCATCTTTTTGCTCACGTGAAGCAGTATGCCCTCTCTCTTGCTGCGCCGTTCTGTGCTCGGGTATATATGCGATGGCGTAGCACGATGTGGCTTGAATCCCTGACATAGATATTAGTATTTTTCTAAGCAGTAGGGACTCTAACCGTACAAGAAGAGTGCATGTGAGAAGCTATCACGGCAGCAGGCCTAGCCGCTGCTCAACCACTTCCACAATCTCCCTCCAATCTTTCATCGCGCCGCCACCAATGTCTCCACACGCTAGCTCTTTCTCCATAGGTTGCAGTACCTCATACCAGCCTCTATTCTTTACTCCCCACTCTTCTTCCAGCACATGCAACTGTTTCTTGGTGATGGGCTGGAACCACATGGCGGTATTCATGCTCGGAGCGACTAGTATCCTCTTCTTCCGTACGCCGCCATCTTCTTGCGGCCATTGCACGCCTGGTATGCTCCTCACCGGATCGATCAGACCTGTGGTATCCCATGCGCGCGCGACGGACAGTAGGAGGTTATCTGACCAGCCCTGTGTGATCTTGGCGAGTAGGTCAGCACTCAAGGGTGCAATGACCATGATGTCTGCCCATCGCCGTAGCTCAATGTGGAGGATCTTGTTGCCTCGGATCCATGGCTCTCTCCACTCGTCCTCGTCAAAGTATACTCCGTCCACGTTCGGCAACGCCTCTATCTCCTCTATCGAAGGCTGCTCCCCGCTCTGGCCTTGCAAGAAGTTGGTTGCCGCAGCCGTGAAGACAAGCCGTATTCGTACGTTCGCGTGTTTCGCAAGCGCGTTGATCATGTTCGGTATCTTGATGGTCGCAACAGAACCTGAGGCGCATAGGAGGACGTGGATGGTGTCATCGTGGTGATCGAAGGCGAAAGGGTCTGTCTTGAGCGGGTCGTGGACTTGATGCTGGACGGGTCTGATGTTGAGCGGCTTGAGGTCGCGTACTTCGGCGGTCATGCTGTGCTGCCTTTACTAGATTATTTGTAGGTGTAAGTGCGCGAGCAGATTGTCTGAGGTTGAACGTCGGCGTCGCGTAAGCATGGCGACCGCATTACAAAGAAGGTACTAGGGTATGCATTGGTGGGGGAGGTGTGATGTAGTGAGGTTTGACGGACGCTAACTTGGTCATCGGGGAGCTTGGCGGGAACCTTGGGGATAGAACCTTGTCGCCTGCCGCGACGCGTGAGAGACCTCCATGCCATGCGACACAACGCGCAACGCGTCAAATACACCCTGGATGCCTGATGCTTCACTCCGGACCAACTGGTACCTCCTTCAGGCTTCAGCCATGTGACCGGAGCTCTGGTAGCTTATCTCCGTCTTGCTCCGCCGACTCCAGAGCGGGGAATTTCACGATGCTCAATTCTTCGGACGAACAAACAAATTGCTCACAGAGTCGGCCCTTAGGTTTCAATCTCCGTTGAGGTACTACATCTCAATAGGATGTGAAGCTACAGTACTCGTGGCAGATGCATAGGTATGATCTCATGCATAGCGGGGTTAAGAAGTTAGTGGCAAGTGAGGTCAATGCGGGTGGGATACCAGCGTCATTGCAATCAGGTACCCGATAATTAAGCTTATTTTACTTCGTCCGTTCCAGTGCCTCTTTCACACTTAAAACCAAGTCCCTTCCGGTCGAATTGCACAACAATCTGTCTTTTATCTGAACCAAACCTCATTACTCAATACCACAATGTCTCTGCCCACTGCACCTCTCGGTCGCGATGGCCCTCAAGTCAACCGCCTGGGTTTCGGCCTCATGGGCTTGTCCTCATTCTATGGCAAGCCGAAGCCTGACTCTGAACGTCTGGCAATGCTTGACTTGGCCCATAAGCTAGGCGAACGCTTCTGGGACTCTTCTGATGTGTATGGTTATCGGGTCATTGGGTCTGACAACAGCTAACAGCTATTCTAGTTACGGCGACAACGAAGACTTGATCGGACAGTGGTTCAAGGCCAACCCAGACAAGCGCAAGGACATCTTTCTTGCTACCAAGTTTGCTTTCAAGGACTCGATGGGTACAATCGACACTTCTCCAGAACACGTCAGTCAATTAATTGAAAAACTGCGACTGAGACATACGCTGACTTCTTAAACCTACTTTCAGGTTAAAGTAGCCATCGAGAAGTCTCTTCAGCGTCTCGGAATCGAGCAGGTGGACCTTTACTACTGTCACCGCGTCGACCAGAAGACGCCAATTGAGCTCACCGTGCAAGCCATGGCCGACCTTGTCAATCTCAAGAAAGTAAAGTATCTCGGTCTGTCAGAAGTCAGCTCTGAGACTCTACGAAGAGCGCACAAGGTCCACCCCATCTCCGCCGTACAGGTCGAATACTCACCCTTCGCGCTGGAGATCGAGAGCAAGCAAGTCGATCTACTCAAGACATGCCGCGAGCTTGGCGTGGCAGTTGTGGCGTACTCACCACTAAGTCGCGGTATGCTGACTGGCGCCATCAAGAGCCCAGATGACTTTGAGGAAGGCGACTTCCGTAGCTATGCGCCCCGATTCAGTGCCGAGAACTTCCCCAAAAACCTGAAGCTCGTGGACCGCATCACCGAGATTGCGAAGGCGAAGGGCGTTACGCCTGGTCAGTTGACACTGGCGTGGTTGATGGCACAGGGTGACGACATCTTCCCAATCCCGGGTACTACCAAGCCTGAGCGCCTGGAGGAGAACGTCGCGAGTGTGAAGGTTGAGCTAAGCAAGGAGGAGGAACAGAAGATTCGCAAGGCGTGCGAAGAGGCAGAGGTTAGCGGTGGACGTTATCCCGAGAGCTTCATGAAGATGTGCTATGCCGACACGCCGTCGCTGGATGAGTACCGCGATAGTGGTGCGGACAAGACGGGGGCTGAAGGAAAGCCGACCCATACAGCAGATATCATCGGCGGATCATAGAGTACCACGTGGAACAATAAAGCGCAGACAATGTGCTCGATAACTTGGAGGATTCCTGGAAATGAAAACTAGATAGACATACGTTCAATTGGACACTCTGGCCTTTCAACTCTTGCGCCGCATACCAAATGAGTCTGTAGGCTAGGCCGCATAATCGACGACTGACTATGTGATGAATGAGAGAGCGAAGAAAACAAATACTCCGAGAAGTCACCCTACTTCAAAAGCTGGAGGAAAAGATACATTCCATCTCTAGCGTACAGCAAGCCTGACTACGACATCACTTTGCCTCACAAACCCAGCATTGAACGTCTTCCAGGGTCGATCATGAGCCATACGCATGTCGAAACAGCGGAGGAGCTCTGGAACGAGTTTGTGAACTTCCGCCAAGGCAACCTAAGGAAGATGTGTGATCAGTATACCAACAGAAGAGGCGATCTTAGTACAATGTATCTCTCGTAGGAAACTTACGTTCTTCCCGATACATGTTCTCTTTCCTGCACCGAACAGCAGCATCCCCCTTTCCATCTCAAATTTTCTGGCCTCGCTCTCTAGCCAGCGCTCTGGTCGAAACTCCAAAGCGTCTTCGCCGAAGAGCTTCTTGTCGTATTGTATTATCTGCGGATTGATACCGACGTGGTATCCAGCCGGGATGTAGACGCCAGACAGGGTAATACCCTGTGCAGGAGCTATACGACTCATGTTGAATCCGGTACTTGGGAAAAGGCGAGAGGCTTCTTTAATGCACGCACTGATATACGGTAGGTGCTTCGTTGATTCTGCGAAGCTGACAGGTGTGCTGAGGAGGTGTCGCTGGGTCTGTAGTTCCTGGGTCGCTTTAGACATGGCATCGGGCGTCCTTATAAGGTAGTATAAAACTGCCCTCAAGTTGACGGCGACAGAATCAGCGCCAGCCATAATACCAGCCCAAGACTCCAGTGTGACTTCTTTGTGTGTGAACCAAGCTTCACTATCTTTCTGTCCCACTTTACGCAGGAGCTGAGCAAGGATGTCTTGACTCTGATCGTCCGCTTCTGCCGAGCGTTGTAGTCGAAGTTGTGTCTGGCGTTTAGCTTCCACCACGGTAGCTTGTACGCCTTTGAACTGCTTCAAATTACTAGGAACACACATGGCGGCCAGCATGATGATGCTGCGCATGTAGGTCGGTGCCGCAGTACTGAAAGCAAGAAGCGGGGCAGCGTTGTGTACAGATTCAATAAAGGAATCCACATGTGTACCTTTCTCCAAGAAACCAAAGGAGTGGCCGAAAAGGATGTGCCCAATTACATCATGAGCAAATAGTTCGAGCCAAAGCCCCAGATCTACCTCTTCGTTTGTTTTGGCAAATTTGTCCAGTCGCACTTTCAACAAGTTTGTGCAATCATCGATCGCATCTTGATGCTTCAGAATGCTGACCATTTTATAGGCAGGCTGAACAATCCGACGATACCTGGTGTGCTTCTCTTCGTCTGTCTCGGTGAAGAGGTCTGCGTGCTCGCTTATACCTCGTGGGCGGAAAGAAACATACCTGCCAATTTAGCAGTCATACACAGCGTGCGTATGGTACCTGTAAGCGTGACTTACCAGTCCGTCTTGGTTAAAGGTTTCTGGGTAGTGTAGATGAGTGATATCGCGTCTGAATCGCTGGAGCTAACTTCGTTTGGAGCAATGCGTATAAGAGGACCATACTGCTCGTGTAGCTCGCGTTGGACAACTTCAAGATCACCGAGAAACATGCGGTACACTGTTGGTTAGTTCTGTGTCAGCATGGTTGGCTGTTGAACAAGCTACTTCCCGAGCTTGGGACTGAAAGCAGTGATTGCAAGTTCGTTGTGGCAATAACAATGCAGATTTGAAGGGGTTCTTACTACTCAGCAATTAGCATCTCTCTTGCCGCACGATTTGTTGGAGCGTGTGCACCTGAGCCACGTTCGCGAGATGGCAGGCCATAACGGGCCCGGTACACGTGCAAGTGGATGTAGTGTACGACAATAGACGATCCACATAACCCAGTACGCTGCAAGCAGAAGAAGGATGTTGGTTGCAGAAGGCACTCGCAAAAGTTCATTCAACGCCATTTTCAGTTGTCGCGATTGTGTTGATCAAACCGAGGATGTCCAGTGGGCAGCTGCAGTGTAGGCATCGGACGCTGTTAAGTAGATGTGCCAAGCTTGTGTGCAACCACTCTGTGATGGTGTGTAGGTACGGCAGTTCCCTACGTACCACTGAGAACCCCGCGAACGACATGTGCATATGAACCCGGGGGGGTGCAGTCGCTACCTGGCCATGCACACGCTTGAAGGTGCATAATCTAGCTTGAGGAGTCGCGAGGACACATGCGTAAGCACAACGGACGAAAAACTAATGGTATCCATTGAGATTGCGCGACGACGGAACATGATGTGGGTATGATGGCGATGAAATCAAGGGCTTTTGAGAGAAAAAGCATGGTTACAGGGAGAGGCTGGAGTGTGAGGGGATGCGCCGATGGAGGAGGAAGCGGCGCTAGCAGCGTTCAACGGATCTTGAACATGTTGCCGCTTTGGGATGGAATAATCCTGGCAGGCCATTGCGCGATTCCGCTGACCTCACACCCGCGTCAACTTTCCACGACCTGGACCTTCTCGTGTATTCGCCCTGGATAGCCCCTCACATCGATAGAGGGATAGCAAGCGGACGCAGCACATCTGTCTGCCCAGCCATTGGCCCCCGACGCATCCAGCAAAAGCACCCGTGCACGTCATCCTCGCGCACTCCCCGACACATCTCCAGCGTAGCCATGGGCTTCATCACAGGCTTCGTAAGTGCTGCCCATCCCTTGCAATGGCACCAGCTAACCTGTGCAGCTCGGAGGCGTCACACTCACCACAGGCGTTCTCTACCTCAGCATCTCCCTACACACACAAAACCGCATCACACAAGCCGCGCTCCTACGACAGCAACGCCAAGTCCTCACCGAATTCTACGAGCCCAAGAAGCCAGAACCAGAGCCCACAAGCCGGGAAGCACCCGTCGGACTAGCCGAGATGGCCAAAGACCGCTGGAACAGAAGCCTCGAGGAGGGCGTGAAGAAGGTCTACACAACAGATTGGCGGAGAGTACGGGAAGAGGCCGAGGACAGGGCAAGCGCCATTATGCAGAAGATCAGGGAGAGCAGTAAATGAGCGTGTGGTCGCGCGTGTATACTAGGAGCAAGCGAAGGCGGCGCTATGGCACGATTGCGACGATACCCCTCTGGCGACTGTACAAATATTCGGGCTTGCAATACGACCAGCATAGATTTTCCGAGTAGTATGGTAGGCTGCTTGTGCACCATCTCTTTCGTTGCGTCATCCCGTGATCCTGGTCCTCGAATTTCAAGCTACTCCCCACGTTTTCCTCTGATATTGTTCGTTTGCGTCCGCATGGCAACACCGCGCGTTTGCCTAGCTCCCCTCTCACCTCTTAACCAGCAACACCACAACACTTTGGTTTCGTCTTGAACAACAACGCAGCCGCTTGCGCAACCATGGCGTCCCATGGCAAGGTTATGGACCTCTTCGACGAGCGCTATCTCGAGTTACAAGATGTTGTTGGCAACGTCGAGCCGCCACCCACTCTAGTACCTTATGAGCAGTACAAGGCTCACGCCATCACCTACCGGATGGACACGAACCATGACGTTTTCTTCGCGCTTCTCCAGGACTTCACGGAGCGCAAGGCGTTGGAGACGGGCAAGGAGCTGTGGACGTGGTGTGTGCAGTGGGAAGTCAGTCAGACCGCAGCTCGCCAATCCCTCGCGGCATCGCAATCAGCAAAGAGGCCTCGCCTTGACTTGGACCCGCCGAACACCCCTACCGCGCCGAAACCGGCCAGCAATGCGCCTCCGATGACTCTGCATGCTCGCTGTATAGATCCCGATCTCTTGCACGAGGAGGACATGTTGCGCATTCTGGTCGATATCGTGCAGGTCGACAGCACAGTGGTACCCAACTTCATTGAATTCCTTTACAGGTGGATCGACTTTTACGAAGGAGACGGAAAGGCTCTGAAGGCGGCCCTACATGGCGAGATTCCAAGCTTGTGGGACTTTGAATATCATCCATTTCTTGTCACTCAGGAAGCCAAAAAGGAGATTAATCAAGCAAGAGGTGTCGCCCAAGACAGCGGAAAGGACGGACAAGGCGGTGACACAACCACCCAGATGCGACAAAAGCCCGACCTAGCGGCACTCGAACGCAAGACAGAAGAAAGCGAACGTCTGAAGTATCGCGAAGTACACTTCGGCATCCAGCCCCCAAAGCTAGACGAGCCTCTGCCACCTCTCATCAACGTCCCCCGAGACCAGTACAAGCGAGCCAAGTATTACGAAGCTTGTTTCAAATCGCGACAACGCGCGTTCTTCTTACTCGTAGAAGCAGGAGTCACCGCCCAGAACATGCGAGACTACCACAGAGATCAGACAATGAGCCTGCAGGAGACGCCAACGCTCGTGGACGCAGGCGGCCTCAAGAACTACGAGAAGGACGCAAAACTTGCGCAGGCTTTCAAGTCGCTCAAGGAGCGACATAGGGCAAAGCAATTGGAAATTTCCATCAGCAACAAATTGGCGGACGAGGCTCAGTTTGCTGCGCGCAGTGCTCCTCCCCGAAGTCCATCGGGTGTCCCTCTTATCCCTACCACGACTATTCACGCCCATCGCCCGGATGTGACTGACGGTATATTGCGCAAGATCCAGCAGACCAAAGATGAGGAACTCCAAAGGATCAACATCGTTCCTACACCGCTTGTGGGCAAGATGAAGAGTACGCTGTTCCGAGGTGCAAGAGACAAAGCGGGTTTGCAAGCGATGTTCGCGCGTAGTAGTTTCCCATCGATCCCACGTTCTTCAGGCAACTTTGATGGCGGTAGGTTGAACAACAACAATCACGGCGATGGGAGTACCGATGAAGATTCAGACGACGACATGAGTGCCCCAAGGGCCAGAATGCGTCTGCTGCCTACACCCTTATTGCCATCGCCTACATCGCTTCCTCGTCCGAACCTCCCATCGCTCAAGACGCTTCCCTGTCCATCCCTACCACCGCCTGCAACGCTTCCTCGTCCGAACCTACCACCGCTACCGCGCCCACCGCCTGCGATGACCTCCACTCAACCTCTAAATACGTTCATTCCTGACACGACGTTGTTCCCCCACCTGCGACACCGATCAAGCCATGCCGCTCTACCTACTACAGAAGTTGCATCTGCTGCAGAACAGACACTACCAAATGTTGCGGCGCTCATGCGAAATATCACTCCAAATCCCGCAGACCAAATGATAGGGATGCTCAAGCAGCAGGTGAGTCTGGCTGTGAGTCGAGTGATGTCCCAGCAGAACGCCCAAGCTGGAGGAGCTAGTGCGCAAAGCCCTCATCCTCATACTCAACCACATGTTCCCGCGGCGTCCCAAGCTCCAAATATTACTGTATCTGGACCGCAGTTACCCTCTCAGCCCCAACTGCCTAGGAGCTTCCAAGGAGGCTTCGATCCTTATGCTCGACCGCCGCTACCACCTGGATTTGAACACCACCATCATTCTCCATCTGTATATGGGGCTCATCCTTTGAACCTTCCGCCGGCGGGTCTTCCCCCTGCCTGGTTCCAGTCTGCTACTCATCAACCGAACCTGTCTCAGCAAGCTTACACGTCATCTTGGCCAACGCCACTAGGACGCTCTGATCATGCACCACCTCCGGCTTTCGCACAGCGCCTAGTAGCTGCTCAAGAGACACAGGATCATACCACTACTTATGGTCAGCGACCTCCGAGTGCTGCACCACCCCTACCACGGGCACCAGACCTGCCAAGTCTTAGCAGACCAGTTGGTCAGGGAGGATCTGTTCAGCAGCGTCAACTGCCCCCTCCAAATTCTCTGCTTGCTCCTCCTCAGGCGACTATGCAGCGCACTGCTCCATCTCCACTTCACCTTCGACCACCATCCCCTCTCTCATCATTTGCACCAAGTCTGCTAGCCACCTCTCCCTTTACCACATCTCACCGCGGTATTCCCGTCCAAATCTATTTGCCTAAGATCGTCGTACCCGCAAACACCATCGGTCCCGGCGGACTGAAGCTAGGCGACAGCGGAGTAGCCGAGACCGATGCCTTCCTCCTTGGATACACACACCCTAAGAGCGGGAAGATCACCCTCAATCGCGCAGTTTTTCTACCCTTGGGCGTGTGGGCCAACGCGCAAGATAGAGTGCGAAAGGGTCACTATCAGGTACTGGAGAGCTATGCAGCACCGAATGGAAGACCTTCAGTACCGCATCGCGCTGCCTACGAGAAGGTGAAACAAGCCTATGAGATGATGATCATGGGATCTCCAGTGGCGAGGGAGCGAGAATTGACAAAGAGGTGGAGGGCTAGCAGGGGAAGGATGACGGCGACTCAGAGGGGTGCCGTCTGGGAAGGTTGGGCTGTGGAGGTTGACAGAGAGATCGCTCTGAATAAAGAGGACAGAAAGGGTGCTTTTGTGCAGAACGCGCTGGTTGATGGAGTGGATGAGAATAGCGATGAGGCTAGGAGGAGGAGGGAGATTGAGGAGTTGCTTGAGACGGATGAGGCGTGGGACTATGAGGAGGACGAGAACGACGAAGACGAAGACGGAGTTGAGCAGGATTACGGAGATGAAATGGAGGAAGAGGATGATGATGAGGGGGATAGCGATGACGACGACGATGATGATGAAGAAGATGAAGATGAAGAAAATGAGATGGAGGACGGTGAGGATGAGGATGTGTATATGGATGGCTAGGCTCAGATTCATGAGATACGACAGCGTTCTGGAGCTGTTCCTAGGGATGATCCATCTAGAAGCTCAATTTGAGTTCTCTTCTCTCCAAACAAGCTAGTTCAGATACAGCGTCCACCATCCACTTCCAGATTAACTCCTGTAATGAAGCCAGCCTCTTTGCTTGCCATGAAGATACACGCATTCACCACGTCGTCCACTTCACCGATTCTACCCATGGGTACATTGGACGTGAACTTTGTCCTGTTCTCCGGTGTATCTTCCATTCCAGTGAAGGCAGAGAAGAGACCCGTTCCTGTAACAAGGGGGCAAATGGACACGACTCGGATCTGATGGGGCCCGTACTCCGCCGCGAGGCCTTTTGTCGCCTGAAGTATGCATTAATCACTGGGAGCTCGATGCGAAATTGAGATAGAGTCAAGAGTCAACTCACGTTCCAAATCGCGCCTTTACTCGCGTTGTACCATACGAGGCCTGGTCTTGGTCTGGTCGCTCCAACACTCGCGATGTTGATGATCACACCTCCTTCTTTGCGCTCGATGGCTTGATCGACCCACGCATTGCAGCCAAGATAAACACCTTTGACGTTGACGTCGAAGACCTTCTCGAACTCGTCCTCCGTGACCGTCGTCGTAGGTTTACTGGTATATGACCAACCAGCGTTATTGACGAGTATATCGCAGCGCCCAAACTTCTGAATACAAGCCGAGACAGTGGCTTTCCAGTCTGAGGTTTTGGTAACGTCCATCTTGTAGAAGGTGAGAGAGGAAGCGTTTGTGGCTGCGGTTGCTTCGCCGCCTGACTGGTTGATGTCGCAGACGAGGACTTTGGCGCCCTCAGAGGCCATGCCTTTTGAGATTCCGGCGCCGAAGCCTGAGCCGCCGCCTGATGAGGTGATTAGTGAGATGTGAGAGGATTGATGAGGATGCGCTTTACCGGTCACGATGGCGACTTTGCCATCTAGTCTGCCCATGATGAGAGGTCTGATATGTTGCGCCTCACGGTGTGAACGTAGGTAAATCAATCGAGTCTTCTCGAATATAGATTTGAATTGCTAGGGTGGATGTGGAGTCTCAATAGCCAGCGACGATGTTGATGTTTTGATTACAACAGAGCAAAGCGTTCCTGCCTGCCATCTCATGGACCCTGATGTCTGCCACCGGTATCGCATCTCCAATCATCGTCAGTCGACTAGTCGTTCTTCGGAGTTGAGCACAGCAGTGAGGGGTAAGCGTGGTGCCCCGCATGGAGTTGACGTCGTGTTGGAGGACCACCGAGGTTTGAGCCAATTGGAGACCGTCTCCGCCGACGTTTCGCTGCTTTGAACGTCTGCGTCTGCGGCGTCTCTCCGGATCGCATTTCCTGAAATATCCGGGTGTCGCTGCAGATACGCGCATTGCTCATGTAGGCTATACGCTGGAAAGTGGGGAAGCTCTGTTGTTTGCAGATGCTGATAATGGTGGCCGCGGAATCAACGCGCCTTCCAAGATCATCTCCTCCAGGCAACTTCACTGTACACTCACCAGTTTTGGTCAACGATACGTGGAAACTTAGAACGAAATGGCGTCAGATAAGAAACACGAGCTACCGTTCAAGGTGGGTCAATACAAACTCGTTCTTGCGATTGACTCGTACTGATGTATCCTAGCTGAACAATCCAGACTTGCTCCATAGCCTATCTTTTGTGAATGGCGATTGGGTACGAGCGAAGTCGGGAAAGACGTTCGAAGTGGTGGGTCAGTCATCACAGCATATCTACTTATCTGAACCCCAAGATCTGACGGGCGAACAGACCCTGGAACAGGAAAGGCGTGGATAGAGTGTCCTACGAACGATGCATCTGATGTCGACGATGCTGTCAAAAGCTCGCATGCTTGTTTTCAGGAGTACAAGAAGATCAGCCCGCGGCAACGAGCACAGATGCTTTACCGATGGGATGCCCTCATCAAGGAGAACAGGGAAGATATAGCGACTGTTCTTGTGTACGAGACCGGAAAGCCTAGAGCCGAGGCGTATGGAGAAATCGATTACTCGACAGGCTTCACATGGTGGTTCGCCGGAGAGGCCGAGCGCATTCAAGGCAGTGTCTTCACACCCGCGCTACCAAACAGACGCATCTTCACGATCAAGCAGCCGCTTGGTGTCGCTGTCGCGTTGGTGCCATGGAACTTCCCCATCGCCATGATTCTTCGCAAAGCTGGCGCTGCATTGGCTGCAGGCTGCACGATGATTGTGAAACCCAGCCCGGAGACACCAATCACTGTACTCACACTGGCTTGCCTCGCTCAAAAGGCTGGATTCCCAAAGGGGGCGTTGAACGTCCTGACCACAGATCTCGACAAGACACCAGAGCTTAGTGAGGCGCTTTGCCGGCATCCGCTTGTGAGCAAGGTCACGTTTACAGGCTCGACGCGCGTTGGCAAGCTAGTCGCTAGGATGTGTGCAGACAATCTGAAGAAAGTTACACTCGAATTGGGCGGCAATTGTCCTGTCCTGATCTTCGACGACGCGAATATCGAGCAAGCTTTGACGCAGATCTTCGCACTAAAGTATCGACATGCGGGTCAAGCATGTATTACGGCGAACCGGATATACGTTCAGTCTGGGATCTTCGACAAGTTCCTCGAACGCTGGAACGCAGAGACACAAAAGATCGTCGTCGGTCACGGTTCAGACGAGAAGACGACGATGGGCCCAGTGACTACTCCACGGGGTGTCGAGAAAGCACTCGCTCTTGTCGAAGATGCGAAGAAAAAAGGCGCGAAGATTCATACGGGCGGTAACAAGGTGGAGAAGGACGGTGGCTACTTTTTCGAACCTACTGTCATTACCGGCGTTACACCAGACATGGACATTGCCAATGAAGAAGCCTTCGCCCCGATCAGTACATTCATCAAGTTCGAGACTGAAGATGAAGCTGTCAAGGCCGCGAACGACACCAGTATGGGTCTCGCATCCTACTGCTTCACAAAGAACGTTGATCGCACCTGGAGACTCTTTGAAAATCTGGAGGCCGGTATGATTGGGCTGAACACCGTAAGTTGACAACGAAGACATCGCGAAGCATACTAACATGTGCCAGGGCAACTCCTCTGCTGCAGAATCACCATTCGGTGGCATCAAGCAATCCGGCTATGGCAAAGAGTCAGGAAAGGATGTCGCAGTGAATGAATATTTGATTACCAAGACGGGTACCTTTACGCTGGAGGAGCAGTCGTGAGATGGTAGGCGCTTTTAGGATGTGGTGACTGTCTCAAGCATATACATCGCTTTCAACTGTGACGCGTCGTGGCTAGCTTCTAGGGGCCATGCCTGCAAGCTTGATAGGTCCGCTACAGGGTGTAACGACGACCCTGACCCAAACTTGATTTGCTTGCACGTTCACCGCCACTGTGATATTCATGCTATTGTTGGTGGTGAAACGCACAGTCGGGCAATCGTATTGTGCTGGGGCGTTTCAATCACGCACGTGATGACGTTAGTGCCCGCCCGCGCTTTGGAGCTTACCGACCGCGGCGCGCGGCTTGTACAGCTCTCGAACTTCCAACAACACCACCTCACCGAATTGCCGGACCTCTTAGCACTATAGCCGCCATCATGGACGACACGGACATGACTGATGTCGCTTACGATATTGACATTGATGTAGGCGCAGACATTGAACCGGTAGCACAGCCGTCGCAACCACAGCAGGTTGTCCAGGTGAGCATTGCGCCAGGCTGCACGAGAAGGCGCAATTGACTGACATGGGCGCCATCGCAGGAGCCGGCCGAGCAAGAACAAAACATACCCGCCGCCTACCTTGAGGACATCATTGTCCACGAAGCATGGCCCGAATCGCTCAACCTCCAGGGCGTGAGCGACTTTGACCCCAACGACCCCCTCTACTGGGCCATGGAGCATTGCCAGTCAGACCCGCGCGTTAAGCAACTACGCTGGGTAAACGACAACTCGGTCAACCTCGAATTCTACAACAAGGAAGACGCGACCGTCGCACTAGGCATCCTCACTCACTCCGACGTGGGCGACACGAGCAACCTCTCACTGCAAGAGCCCCGCACAGCGCAACCATACTCAAAGAAGCCCAACAGTCGCCTCGTCATCAGGCAGTCGAACGCTGGCGACCAGAAGCCGAAGGGCGCAGCAACCAAGAGCAACTACTACCAGCGCAACCCAGACGTGGCTGGCAACCACCAGAGGGAGCCGCGACGGAACCAAAAACCGCAGAAAGACTATCTCGATTATGGCGACGAGGAAATGGGCTCCAGGGACCGATCAAGACGGGGGTACAGCCGAGACCAGTCCATGGGCGACTCAGGCGCTGACCGAAGGGGCCCGCGCCGGAACGGACGAGACAACCGTGATGGCCGTGATGGACGAGAAGTCCGAGGTCGCGGTGGCAGAGGAGGTCGTCCGCCCGCTGATGGTAGACTCAGGAATGACGACGTTGATTCCTACCGACCCGGCTCAAGAAGGTACTTCAGCGCATTGCCCCGTGACCCTGTCAACAAGCTAACAGACCCAGTCCACAAGAGCCACGCTTCGGCCGTCTACGAGGACGCAGCGCCTCCCCTGCCTCCGACGAAGAAGGCGACGGTCGCTTCGGATTCGCAGAGAACGAGACCCACGCGGGCCGCCGTCGGTACCGCAGCCGGAGTCGCAGCCGCAACAACACTCGCCGTCGCCGTGAACCCAGCATGGATCGCTGGACACACGACCGGGCAAACTATGATCGCGGCGGCCCTGCGAGTGGCGGACGTTGGCAGAAGGACTCTTTCCTTGACACTTCGCCAATGGGCCATAACCACCACCGGTCAAACGCCATCGACGCAACATACGGATCAAACAAGTCACGAGGAGGGGATTCGCTACTTTCTCGCATGACCAAGAACGGACAGCCCGTGCTCCCGCAACAGAAGCGGTCACTAGCCGATAGGATCACACGCGATGATGACGATCCCGCTGAGTCGTTTGGTCGCCTCAAGGGTGACGACCGCGATCCC